ATTTGAAGGACATATCTTGCCCACTCATCATGTATTTTCAAAATCTCATTATGAGACACTAAGTGAGCATTTTAAAACAACTGAAACATATATAATATATTAGTGTACAATGTATCATAAATATTAAATTAAAGTTATTTTAAGATGTCAAAATACAAGTTATATTATTTTCAAGAATCAGTAATGCTCCCGTTAATTATGAGCTTCATCCAATACGTCAAATAACTTTTATAATACATCACATAAATAGTCACACTCGTGTATATATATCTTGCATTTGACATACCACCCAACACATTGTTGCTGATCACAACACTGGTTAATTAATATATTAGTTTATTAAGGATTTCATCCAGTAATAAGGATTTCATCTCACAGATGGGTTTCCTATATGCAAAGGAACATAAGGACACCATTATATACTCCCCAAGAATAATGACAATGTACTGTCAGTGACACCTATAATAGAAAAAGAAACTAATTAGTAACAATATGAATATTAATTAATTAATTAATGTTGTTAACTTATGCTAACTTGTTGGTGTAAAGAGATAAAAAAAAATATATGTCTTCTTGAGGTATTCATCCATATCCCCAAAATTTTATATTAGTATAGGTTATTGTTCCTGAATTTCTATATGAATTGAGGCACAAGTAATCCGTACAAATATGTTTTTCCAAATTCTCGACTTAATTGGTTCTAGTGCCTAAAATGAATAAAGTAAATGTTAAACATAAATAACAAAATAAAAAAAATAATTAAATTACTTTCATTACCAGTAGCTATATATAACCGAAATGTTAAGCATAAGATTCTTCCCACTATCTCTAGAACATCTTATAGGTTTATGTACAATGGGACTCGTGTATTGTCTACACTAAAGAAGGAATGATATCATTGCACATGTAAGGGAGACTATATCCGGGATGAAAAAATGTCAAGTAATTGACCCATATGATCATCTACAAGTTTTAAACTAATAGTAAGTCAAACTTGTTTCACAAGCCACACAATATCAAAAAAAAAAAAAATGAACAAAAATTTGTTGATGATATTACTAATTATTTCAGTTGTCAATACAAAATAAAAAAAATTAAATAAATAAGATAATTAACTGAAATCGCTTTCAATAAATGTCTTGATCATACAATAAAAGTTTTTAGAACTTACCTCGTTAGCTTAATTTATGGAGTGATCAAGGGACTCAATCAATAAAGTCTCAAATACCATTAACCACTACTCACAAATACCTCAACAGGTGCACACATTGTTTATTGCTGACAATAAACCATAAATTCGAACTTCGCGAACTTCCTAATCAAATCTTTTTGAATATGGGGATACTATTGTGTGACCTACATAGTGATCTTCAACAAAACCTCATGGCTCACAATAGAACTATTGGAAGCATGTGATAATAGACCAAAATTATCATTAAAAAAAAAAAAAAAAAAAAAAAAAAAACCTAGTTGTCTCTATATTGAAAAAATTATATCTATGATTTCATAGGATGATGAATTTCATTTCAACATATTATCATTATAAATCAACTAGTTACACAACATTAATCACATTGATGTTTTATGAACTTATGATTTCAGACAAAATTTAAACACAGTCCCTTAAATATTTTTAATACTATTCGATCCCTAACACTGACATGTACTTATATATGTTGCACTTTACATTTTAGTTTCTATACTTACAATAATTTTACATTTTGATCCTTAAACATATACAACCTTTACTTTTTACTCCTTAGAAATAACTTATTATATTTCTTATATGAGAAATTTTTAATCCATAACAACAATTTCTCCTTTTTTCTTCCTCCTTCTCATGTCACTTTTTTTTCTCTCTCCTCATTAACACTTGTACCCTCCTGTTTACTTTACAAAGTATATTTCTTTTAAATCCTACTACATCAATTTCTATTTGACTCTAAACCAAGAGTGTTGCGATTTCAAACTTTTAATGTATTTCTTGGTCAAAAGGTAGTCTCTCATTTTATTTTTTTTTGGAAACAAAGATAATAATATATATTAAATTAGTACAAGAGATACCAAAAATTCATATATATATATATATATATACAAACTAACCAAACACCACTAAAATAATCAACCTACACAAACAACACTAACTAAGACATGCATGATGTATGTCTTTAGACCATATAAATCTCATTGATAATACTCCTCAACATGCCCTTTTCCCATCCAAGTTGAAGAATTTATTGACCACATCACAAATAATAAATAAATAATCAAAAAAGAGATGAACTGCTTTAACCAAGACCAAACTACATTGACACTCCTTATAATAATAGGAACTGGCTTGAATCAATCTTATTATATATGTTTGAAATTTGTTTTATATATCAAATGATATTTATCACACATCAACGCAAAAATTACTTTAGATGCATGATGCTGTTAGAAAATAAAATAATAATAATTTAACATGATAACCAACAATAAAAACAAAAGTATAAAAAAATTCTCCATATAACTAACAATGGCATGATTTTCCAAATATTTGATGTTGCGAGTTTAAATTGATGCAGTAAGAATTTGATGTGTCAAAAATCTAAATATTTTATGTAACAAGATAAAAACAATGTGAAAATTTTTACAACTATAAATAGTGCTAATACATATCGCTACTCGTAAACCATCTTATTTTGAAAGAACATCTAAACTTTATAATTTCGAGACTTTCTAATTTAAGATAAATGAGAGTTAATTAATGTAAGAGAGTATAAAAAATTGAACTTACAAAACATTAAAAGAAAAAAAAAATATTACTCATATTGTGGTTTAAATAAGTGTTTTTTAAGTATTGATTAAAAAGTAAAAAGAGTAAAATATAAAAATAATCTAAGTGTAACAATAAAATTACAATGTGAAGTACAATAAATATCAGTATAGCGTCATCTATCATTAACCGCACATTTTTTTAGTAAGAGGAACTAAAAGTTACCGAAAGTACTTGTAGAAACTTAAAATATAATTTGAAGTGCAGGAGCTAAAAGGTTTTTTTTTTTAAATTATAAAAATAAAATGAGTAATTAGACTTAATTTTTAATGGTAACATATTTTATTTTTAATTATTTTTCTTTTATAAAACTTGTCCGACATAATGTTGATGTAGTTGTGGGCTGGGGAGAGGGAAGGAGGGACACTTAAGCATACGCCAAAAACGACAGATCATGGCTGCTAGACGCTACATCCAAGACGATGACTTTATGACTAATTCAACGACAATAGCCTAAATTTTAAAGGCTTTGTTTCATTTTATACAATGACTTCTGATTTTTTTATTTAAATTCTTTTTTTTAAATAAAAAATATTACAAAAATGATCATTACAGGAATTAAACTTATGTCTCATGCTTCTAACTATTTTAACTCATTCTCACCTAATTATTAATGGTTAAATTCAATACGAGTAAATCTATATAATAAAAATGTTAAATTTAATTTTTTCAAAAATTTATTTATTTATATAAACTGAACTTAAACTATAAAAAAATTTATTAGATCTAAGATCAATCTATACATATATATATATATATATATATATATATATATATATAATCGTTAATATTTTTGATATTTTTACAAAATTAAACATTTTATATAGTTGATATGTAAGTAAATTTAGTAGTCAGCCTATCTTTTTCTTTCATTTTCATGAAAAAATATTTTAAATTTTTTTTTAAATTATTCTCTTTTATTATACATTGCCTAAGTGTATACAGTATATACAAGTTATCCTCTTACATTAAATTTATTTTTATTTTTATTTTAAACTTTAAATTTTAATAATAATAATAATAATGGAATGAAATTATATTTTATCACAAAAAAAAACTCACTTAAAAATCAATTTATTAAAATATTAAAATTAATTTATTAATCTATTTAACATTATTAATATAAAATAAACTTTAAAATATTAGTAAGTTAAACCAGACTTTTAAAAAAATTAGATCAGACCTAAAAAAAATATAATAAATAATAAACCAAATTTAAAAATAATTTTTATAAATTACTTTGCAAATGTATTCAAAACCTAACTTAATCTAAATATTTTCATCCCTACTGACAAGGTTTCCAGGCAGTGATAGTCATCGCTGTTGAATCCGATTTTGACATAGAACGGATGAAGTCGTCTTCCTACCATTACAATTAATTTGATGATATATTTAAAACCAACATTGCTATATTTGACCTCTACCATAACAAGGTATAGCAAGTCTACATACCCTTGCTTAAATGCTGATTCGGAAAAGATAGTCAGAATTGTGTAATTTTTGCTACGTTAGAACGAGATGAAAAAATCAAGAATATTTGTAAAGACCAACATAAAGTGAATCTCTGTTCCCATACATGAAAATGAGCGTCGT